CCTCCCTGCAGGACCACGAGGGAGTGGAGGCCTGGCAAGGGGATCCTGGTGTTTTTTCCATATAGGACAGCACCCCCCAAAGTGGCAGGGGTGGCGGATAGGAAGTTCCTAGCAGCCCCTCAGGAGCTGCCAGACCAGGTGGGCCTGCTTGGTGGGGACCCTTCCCTGGGGACACCGCCCGCCTTCTCCCAGGGGCAGCAGGGAGACCAGCTTGTCCAGGATGCTCAGGTGCACATCCCGCACCTGGTCCTGACCGCCCTGACACCTGGCGCGGGAGCATCTGCCTGCCCCCAGCCGGACCTTGGGTGCATGCCCTCCTGTGCGACCCTGTGCCCCCACCTCCCCATGGACCCTGATGTTTCTCTGGACAAAAACCTTCTGCCCAAATGCTTCCAGGTTAGAGGTGCAAGTGTTCCAGGAAACCTCCAGCACCTTCTCAGAGTGAGAAGCCTGCTCCATGCCCTGTGGCCATGCCTTATCGCTGAGCTTTAAACTAATGCCTGGGTTCTGATCATCCACAGAGCGGCCTCCTTCACCCGGGGCCCGGGGGGGGCAGGGGGGCTGTGCTGGGGACAGAGCACAGGCCCACTGGGCCCCTTCTTGTGGTGGCCGGTAGCTCCTTGTGTGGGAGGCACCGCACGGCACTGTGTTATGGTAAAATCAAAGTAGAAAACCACAGGCACCCCGCGGCGTCTGCAATGCTGCCCAGGGCTCTCTCTCCAGCTCTCCAAGGCTGTCTTCTCTGGGCCCGGCTCACCCCTTGGGGTTGGGTGAAGCGGGCTTCCCCAGCGCTGCCGTAGCTCCACATCCCATTACGACACTGCGGACGGACGTGCAGACGTGGCAGCACCTAGCAGCGTGGTGCCAGCAGCCTCGGGGCATCTTCCTGGTGGAAGGTGCCCATGGGGGGATGGTTCTTTAATGCCAACAAGACAGGCAGTTACAGAGCTGCACTCAGTGCTCAGTGCTGTGGAAACGAAGCACATTGTAATCCCCCGGATACTCACTGAGCATGTACCACACGCCAGGCATCTGTCAGACAAGGAGGCCCAGCAGAAACTGTGCCTGACTTCAAGGAACTTAGTCAAGTGCAACTTCTACAAACGCCAATTTGAAAACTAATTTTAGGGCTGCTGGACAAGAGTTATCTATCAAATGTCTTAAATACATATTCCTGGGCTCCATCTCCAGAGGCGTGGGTTTAATAAGCCTCAGGAACAATGAGGAATCGATACTTTAACATATTTCCCCAGGTGGTTCTGATGGGAGGTAGGTTGGGAACCACTGGTCTGATAGGATAAAAAGTAAGATAAAAAGTTTTAATTTCCAAATTAGTATTTTAGTAAACGTATCTTTTTCTAACTATAGTTTGGTTAAAACAATTATTCTATATCAAGCAAACACATGATAAATAAGATGGGCTACATTTTTATGCAAATACTAGAATGTTCAGGTATTTTGGTATCACAGGCGAAATCAAACTTCCCTGAGCTCTTTTCCCACTCCCTCTCCCATAGCCCTCTCAGAAGCTCTTCTCCCGTCTCCCCCATTGGCAACTCAGGCCCCTCCCCACTTTTCCTCCAGCTACAGTGCATTTTTTTTCCAGCAAATAGTCATATCTCTTCAAGGAATATGTATGTAAAGCATCTACAAGACTGACTTTCTGTCATTTAAGTGACTTCAGCATTTTTGATAGAATGTTTATGTCTTCCAGCTCTTTTACACTATTTTTTTTGTTATCGCTTTCTTGCAGGACTGGGAATGGAGAATATTGGTGGAATCTTTGTGGTTCTTATTTGTGGCTTAATCGTGGCCATTTTTATGGCTATGTTGGAGTTTTTATGGACTCTCCGACACTCAGAAGCTACCGAGGTAAACCTCCAAAGGGGTCTGACCTATAGTGTTGGCAGAAAGAGCAAAGTTCACAGGCTCATGCACAGACAAAGTGATTTCCTGCAGGTCCGTGCAGGCCTGAGGATGGAGCAGCCCGGACAGGCCCCAGGGCGGGACGCCGGCCTCAGAGCTCCCTCCATGCAGCCACAGAAAGGCATCCAACTGCCGGTCTCAGAGTCTTCTAGGAAACAGGCCAGGAAATAAATGTGGGGAAGGGTTTCATGAACGAGGAGGTCCTATCCACTGTGATCGAGGCTGCATCATGGTGAAGGAAAACAGGCCAAGTGCCGCTGACTAAGGGAAACCATGTCTCCCTTCTTCTATCTGAAGGCTCCACTGCAGTACAGGTGCTTGGGGAGGCCGCAGTGCCCGTGGCTCAGGAGTCGCAGCTTCCCTCTCAGGGGTTTGAATAAATTCAGTTCCCAAACCCGGTGCTCACCAGCTGTGTTAAGTGACTTTCACGTGATGGAAGAGTCTGGCTGGAGAGGAAACTCTATCCCATGCCATCTCCACTCTCTCTGCAAGGCCAGAAACCCTCACAGGCTAACTGTTCTTTGGTTTTTAAAGTACAGTAGCCTCTGCCTCAGTCTCCGACTTGGACCTCTTGATTCTCCTTTGGAAACTGAGCCTGAGTCAGCAGCTCCCAGCAGCTCAGCAGGGACAGTGCCCCATCCACTTGGGGAGCCCAGCCTCTCACAGGCCTCAAACCGCCTCCCAGCCCTGACTCTGCTCAGCGTCTTCTCCACTTTCCAACAGGACTTCATGTCACTGCCCCGCCTCACACCCTTTGCTCTTTCACGCACAGAGGTTCATGGTGCCTCCTACCTCACCAAGAAGTCAGGTGTGACCAGGCCCAAATGAAAACCCCCACCTAAGATGCCGCCCAGCGGAGCCACCCTGTAGCTGCGGTAGATGTTCCCATTGTCCTGCCATCTCTATCTGTGTTGTTGTTGTTGTTTTAATCCTCACCCGAGGGTATTTTTCCATTGATTTTTTAGAGCGCGGAAGAGAGAAAGACAGAGAGAAATATCGATGTGAGAGAAACACATCGATTGGTTGCCTCCTGCACAAGCCCCAACCAGGGCCCCGGGCTGGGGAAGAGCCTGTAACCAAGGTACATGCCCTTGACTGGAATCAAACCCAGGACCCTTCTGTCCCCAGGCCAACGCTCTATCCACTGAGCCATACCAGCCAAGGCTCCATCTCTGTCTTGATCCATCTTTTCTCAGCTACCCTAGGATTATCTTTTCTCCCCTTCAATTTTCATCCCTGCACTCTCCCCAAAATCTAAAAATATTTACTCTATATGTTCAAAATGTCAATATTACTGTTATTCTCACCCTCTCCCAAACCAACTGCTTCAGTCTCCATTGCCTTGCCTCCCATTCAGCCCTCAAACCAGGACAGTCTGGCTTTGAAAAGTCATGTTAAAAGGCCTGACCCCTCCCGAAGGACAAAAGCAGAGAGAACCCGTTGGGCCTTGTTGAGCCTCAATGTGCCCCTTGACAAAGTGAGCCATTTTCCCAGAAGCTCTCCCTCGCTGGCCTTGCCTGGCACCAAGCTCTCTTTGTTTCTCTCCTACGTCTCTCTACAGCTTTGTCCACGCCTTAAATGAATTCTGCTTATTACTTCTAGGCAGAAAGACCAGGCCACGTGTTCCTTTCCCTGAGAAGCCTTCCCCAGGTCTCCCGCCTCTTCCCCAGACCAGAAGCGTTTGTCCTTCCTCTGCCTTTCACCTCTGCACCGCGCACAGAGCAGGCACGCCTGCATGCAGTGCGGGCTGTGGTGTGTAGCACACAGATGGCAGTCAGTACATGCGTGCTGTGACATTCTGTCACATGTAGCAGATCGGCAGGTGGTGTTGTTTCACCTGATGTAGTTATTATTAGGAGCACAGAGAAGTCAAGGACCTTGCCTAGATCTCGGCTACTTAGTAACAATAGGGTGTTTAGAGTCCAGGTCTCAGTTCTTACCTCAGGCCGTCCTCTTTTAAATGACGCCACTTCTCAGTAGCCGCTTCAAGTAGAGGATCGGTGAACATTTGGTACTTCCCTAAGAGCTCGCCCATGGCCTGGCCAGACCTTGAAAACTTCAGTGAGGACTCCCAATAGGAAGATGAAGAGCAAGAGTTCCCTTAGCGACCTGGCT